CTTTGTCATCATCGTCATCAGAAATAGTTAGAAAGTATAAGTTTCTTAACAGATGATTTAAAGGAGCTCAGTGTTACATTCTCTTTAGCAAATGTTGGCAAAAAATTCCATGAATTAACATGGAAATGCGTTCTGGGTTTGCAGAAATATAATTCAGGATTTACTCTTAACATTTTTAAGCGATTAGTATTATAAAAACCAATGATATGAGTGTAAAGAGAAGGAAAATAATTCAATTTATATACTTTATAAATCAAACATGGATGAATGGAAAATATGTAGATCTTTAATATTTGATAAACCAGATAAGACAAAATGGGCTGATATATGGTCATAATTACGCAAATTTAAAAAAATTCTAACAAAAAAATTTTGACAAACAATTAGTGAATGAAGGTGAGTTTTAGGACTATGCCCAAAGACCCCAGATTGAAATACAATAAGAAAAATAAGATAAAATTAGAGAATTGTATAAAGATAGTAAAATGCAATTAGGAAATCTGGCTTTAAGACGGCAGATTAAACCCAAATTTTTAAAAATCTTTTTAGAAATAAATTGGATATGGTCAGACCAGGACAATGTAGTTTGTTATCACCATTATCATAATCGTCATCATTTTGTGTGATCGTCATTTTTATTTTCATCGTTATCGCAAACATTGTAATCTTCATATAATAGCAATATACTTCCATATAATAATAATAACAATCATCATCGTCGTCGTCGTCATCACCATTATCTTGATCATCGTCATCATCATCACCAAGAATAAACAACGAATGGTCTTTTGATGATGACGTATCGAACTCATTCAAATGTACCATCAGAGCATTCGATCCAAGGTGAGTTCATTTCAATTAGATATTATTATTATTATTTTATTATTATTATTATATTAATATTATTATTAGTAGTAGTATTTAATTTTCATCGTTAGTGTTGTTCCTATCGTTTTTCATACGTGCCTGTGTTGCTGTGACTCATGTTAATATGATTATAAAGAGGAGGATGACGATTATGATGATGACGACGACGATGATGATGAGTGACATGTGTGCGTGACAACATGATACATACTTAGTCTGAGCATCAGTTATGATAATATTGACGAAAACGATGATGATGAAGAGGAAGATGACAACATTAATGAAGAGATGATGATGAAGATAAACATGACAACATTGACGATGAAGAGGAAGATGACAACATTAATGAAGATAACAACATTGATAAAGAAGATGATGATAAAGATGACAACATTGATGATGAAGATGACAATGATGATGATGAAGAGGATGAAGATGATGACAAAATATAGACTACGACAGGTGATGATGACGACGACGATGATGGTATTGATGATGATGATAACAGTGATGTGAATCGAGTGGGTAAAAAAAATGATGCTTGCATTTTTGTTTGTGCGTTGGTCAGCGTATTGTAGGGTGGGGTGGGGAGTTAATTGCTTTTTTTATGATCAATAAACTCGAGTCGACACGTGGCTTTGGCTACAAGCCTCTCCTAGCTCATAAATAATCAATTCTTCTCTATCGAACGCTGAAGTTACCAATGAGAAACAAAACACGCACAATAAAAATAATAATCACTTTAGTTTGAAATTAGAAATAAAAAAAAAAATAATATTGAAAATACGAATGTAGTTCAACTGCGTTGAATAGATAACAGCTCAAGACAGCATTTGAATAATATTTTAATATTTAAGTGGTAGCCATGAAAATTATTCAAAAGTTAGACAAATGCACATTCAAATGACACACAGCAAAGTTATGCTAATTTCTAGTTAATATATCCAAAAATGAAATAATTCAAAAAAGTAGGACAGTTTAAGAATTGATTATGTTATTAAGTCGCAGGCCAGACCCTGAACTAAGAGCGGAAATTTGCAGGGGATGGCAGATATTGTTAAGTTTTAAAAACGTTGGTGATGATAAGTGCAGACAGATTGAAGGAGTGGATACAGGTGCACAAAGGAAAACATTAGACGAATTGATTGCATGGAATGAATGCGCGGGTCGATGTTTCATTCAAGAACACTGGATGAACGACGGTTAAATGAAAGTAGGGGATCAATTACATCCGCTGTTTCTATTTACATTCATGCTTATTTTATAATGAATTGAAGAAAAAGAAATAATAGCTGACAGCATTCAAAGAAGAGATTTGCTTATATTAAAGCAACATGCGTTATAATGAGAATATTTTGAATGACACGACGGTGAGGCACATGCTTGCACACGTATATATAACTACGAGCAGGTCAACTAACGATAAACAATTTGTACTTACTTTTGCGTATGATGAAAAATCGTTATGTGAAACGCAATTCACACGCACCTGTAGGTAAGCAGAAGTGTCAATGCTCTACAAGGATACAAGGACGTTCATCTCGTTGTGGTGTGCATTAAGCATTTTCTAAAGCATTCGCAAACATAAACACACACGTACACACACACGAGCACATATGCACACACACACACACACAGATATACTGAAACACAGATACACATTATTTTAATATTTTTTTATTTATAATTTTATAATATTATCATATTATCTCAAGTCAAAAATCAAAAATAACTGTGCGTTAATTTTTGCTTTTAAGTTTATGTTAATTCCTTAACTCGCTCTCTCGTTTTCTGTTTCTCTCTTTGTTTTTTCTCTCTTTTTTTCTTTCTCTCCCTCTACCTTACGCAAACAGTAGTGATGTTGGTAGTATTAGTAGTAATAGTATTGATTTTTTGTACCGGTGAACATTAATTTTGTGAAGCACTCGAGTCAACAGAAACACGACGTTGCAATTGATTCGTTCATCAAAGTTTAACTTTAAATAAAATTAATACACTCAAACAAAGTCGAAAGCATGGAAGCATTATTTCGAATTTTCCAATTGATTTATTAATATAAAATTAAATTGTAATGATACTAAATTGTAAATTGGAGAATCATCACTTTATTTTCCATGCTTAAACCTTCTTTATAACCTTAAATCTTATTTATTTGCCACGTTCTATAACATTGTCCTGCAAGTTGCCTTAGATTCGACGTCTGCAAATAACATGTTCAGGCGTATTTCTGTAGCTAAGCGATAGACATATCGTTAAAAATAAGCATTTAAAACAACAGAAAACATCACGTTCACACCTGAACATGTTAACATCATAAAATATCACCATTAATTCATTCTCTGGATAATAACTTCTCTGTAAACCATATTAAATTTCATACAATAAAATAGACGTGTTAGACTATTTTTATTGAAACATTAATGTTTTAAAGATTGTTGTAACTTTAAAAATATTCTATCAGTCGTACGTTTAAATCGAAGCGTCATTACAAAACGGGCGTAGACAAATTGGACATGAAACAGTAGCTGAACGATGATTGATGGGTTGATTTAATGATGATGCTGAAATGAAACACATGCTTTTGTCATTTTAATGCAACGGTATAATCGGGTCCCGTGTTGTTTGATGCATTCCCAGTTGGCAAGAACCTTTATTTTAAACAAATTTAATAATTTATTTTAACGAAACCTCATCGCCTAGTTTACTGAAAACATCCTCGGAGAGAGATAACTAGATGGAATGTCTATAATTTCACATTCAATTTAGATCCTCAAATCACTAAAACTGTTTTCAAATTGTTTGAACACGTGTTTACTATAAATATATCTCCGTGCATGCACGTGAAACTATAAAAAATTATTGTAAATAACTGAAAGAGATAAGCAAGCAGACTCAGGTGTGAATAGGATGAACAGGTAGGTAATTTCTCACACATTTGTTCAGATAAAAGTATGTGGATGAATGTTTTAATTTTCTCATTGTTTCAAGGCCGCAAAAAATAGAAAAAAATAAAAAAAAAGAAAAAAAAGTTGACATTTAGTGTTCCTAAAATACAATTATAGATTTTGTTTGTAAGCACTTGTGCAACCGCTGGAAATGCTGGATTGGTTGGGTGTGTACGGTTGGTTGGGTATGTACGGGTTTGTTCAGTTTGTTTGCGTTACTATGAAAGTGTACCCTTCGTTTTCAAGCATATACATGCGTCATCTTTCTCGTCGAGTTAACGATCTATGACGTTTCACTTTCACGATTTTGTTCTCTCTTAATTTATATTCTTAAAAAGTATCACTACCATCACTTTCAACTACGTTGTCATCTTTATAATGAATTTCATTTTCAACATTATCATCATCACCAGAATCATCATCATCATCAACGTCGTCTTTAGAATCAGTATCATCTTCGAAATCATTGTCCTTTCGTCAATAGATCATCATAACCATTTTTCATTCTCATTATTCAAGTCTACATACCTACATAAAAAGTCATTTATTTTGAAAAAAAAATGTTACAATTGAACAATGGATGAAGTGAGAATTGATTAAACCTGTTTTTTTGTGTTCTAGTTTGACTGCACAAAGATCTTGACCACTCATTATAAACAGAAAGTTAGGCAGCGTTCCTTTCCCACACAGTTATTACCTCAAAAACTTGCACTGAATTAACATGTCTAATGTTTCAACGGGTTCACCGTTATATTGCCTAGATCAAGGTTTCTTAATTTTGATCGTCATTTTATAGTTTAAATGTTTAAATGAAAAGAATACGTTTAAGAACCAGCAAAAATAATTTGCTCAATCATACGATCGTCAACGTACATAATAATGAGCGTTCCTAACAATGAACAAAACCTAACTCATTTCTGTTTTAGCGTTTAGAAAATCCAAACATCATGAAAAAGAAAAAGATTAACGCTGTCTATTTTATTTTTTTTGTGAAGTTTTTGTTTTGATATTATCAGTCATCATCCATCCCATCATCATCATTGTCGTCACACCAAGATCCTCCTCATCTTCTTCACCATCTTCATCATCATCTCCATCACCATTTTCATCATCATCTCCATCACCATCCTCATCATCTTCTCCCTCCCAATCTTCATCATCTCCATCACCATCTTCATCATCGTCAGCATGAAACAGCTGAATCACAAACGAGGTACCAACATCTTGTTCTTCAATGAAGGTCTGGCAGGGGGCGATAAAGTCACTCCAGACACGCTCTGGCGACTCAACACGTTAAGAACTTTGAGGAAACTCTTTAACGAAACAGAGGTTAAATAATGAAAAAAATTTATCGCAATCTTCATTTTAATTTTAGTTTAACTCTTTTTAATAGTAACTACTTTGCAAATTGTATACTATTACTACTGATGCTGCTGCTACTACCACTGCTGTTGCTGCTGCTGTTACTACTACTACTACTGCCACTACTACTGTTTCTACAGGGACAACCTAAACACTTTGTCCTTGTCTAAAATTAGCATTACATTATTTCTTACTATTATAAAACGCTTTGATAGATAAAACTAAAGTTTTGCCGATACCACAATACCAATATTGTGTTGAAAGGCGCTATATAAATTTAATTATTATTATAAAAATGTAATTTTTACTAATTACTATTAATTACTATTAATACTAAAACTACAATTGTTGCTACTACTTTAATCGCTACAACTACTATCACTACTACGTCTGCTGCCAATTTTAATACTACTAAAAGTACTACAAAAAAAAATAGAAAAAGTTTTTATATGAGCATTAAAAAAAATATTGTCAAAATACTCGATCATAAATCATTTATTATCTGATGTTGTTGACTTCTTGAAATAATTTGTAGAACATGTAAGTTTAAATTATTAAACTCTGAACATCTTTATTTTGGAAAAATATTTAAACTAAAAACTGGTCTCACATCAATCTGTTCATTTTTTTCGTTCAACTAAAATATTTCTGACTGAACCTTTTTTCCGGCTGTTCATTTTTGAAATTTTAAACTTCTCAGTTATTTAAATTTTATTTATTATTTGGGGGGTTGTGTTCATTTAAGTCTTCATAAATTTGAGTGATTGATCTGATTAATTGATTTAAAATATTTCCAACCACTGAAACTCTTGAAGTGGTTCTCCTTTTAACAGCGCGCTTGTTCTTTATGAAATGTTATTTAGGAACACTCTCGTATATAACAAAAACTAACTGTGCAGCCAAAACTTAAATTTCAATTGAAACATCTACTTATTATAGGTCCCGGTTGAAATGATGTAACGCCACTTAAGTTGTCTGCTTCAACTTATTTCTTGATTAACTTTTTTACCATAAAATTGAACTTTTCAAATCTCTTTGATTTGTTTATTGCAATCTTAAGGCGTGTTTTCGATAAAATAAGATATAAGATAGACAATTATTTTTAACTGTTTATTTGTGAGACAACTGAAATATTTCAATTGCCATCAACTGCATAATAATAAAATAATTTGGATATATTTGCGTTTTAGAAAATTATAAATAAGTGTTCCAAAAACCGTCTTTATACTTTTGCCTTTACCTGAAAAAGACTGATTGAAGTATATTGCAACAATAAACAAAAAAAACTTGTGATTACCGTAATTTCCAGCATGCAGTCAAACCCGACGACTTTATAAATTGTGTTGAGCATTACAGACGACAACACGCTTCTGCTCACTTGCCCACCGGCTTGTATGGAATATTCTAGCAGGTGCAATGTTACTTGACAACGAATCAATTTGGTGGCCATGCCAAACAACGAAAAGAATATTTAATTGTTTTATTCATGTTCATAATAATAAAAAAATAAATATAGTCACTTTAAAAATAATAACAACAAACATAATGATAACATTAATAATAAGAAAAACAATAAAAACTGTCACTAACGCCAATAACACGATCGCTAACAGCAACAACAACAGTAACGTTAACATCAACAACAACAACGTTAACATCAACAACGCAAGCACGAACGTTAATATTCCCACTAATAACGTGAATAATAACGAGCCAATGACATCAACAAACACAACAGAAAACAATAGACTACCTGAAGATCGATATTGAATATTGGGAGTGGGAAGCTCTCGATCAAGCAATTCAGGATGGATCCTTATCTAAGGTTACCTAGAAACGTATTTAGTTCTTTCCTTCTCTTTCTCTCTCTTTTTCTATTTCTCTCTTCATACCTTTCTCTTGTATAAATTTTTCGTTTTTTTTTTGTTGTGTTTTGTCAATTTTTTATTTTCCCTCTCTTTTCTCTTTTTCTCTCTTTCTTTCTCCTTCTATAACAAAAATATAAATTTTTTTTATTCTCAGGTTATCACGGGTGATAACACATGCACAGAACAATGCATTGATAATGTTTCTTGCTAACCATCAGCATATTTACCTAGCATTGAACTGATGGTTCCCGCGGCACGATGAGCGCGCTCATGCTGCATCAACGCATTCATCCACTTGCAAACATCTGTATATATAATACACACACACACACACACACACACACACATATATATATATATATATATATATATATATACATTGGAGTACGTGTTTAAACCTTCACTTACACACACACTTATAATTCAGGTAAAACAAATAGGTTTAGAAGTGCACAGACACGAGATATACAGCAAGACCTCATCTGTCGACAACTACAAACTCTACTTCAAGATATTTTCTAAACTGCGAGATTTAGGTTAAGTGATCGTCGTATCTGAAAATTTAATCTCATGGTTGCAACAAACATTCTCATCTACCGCCTTCCACAATCTCTTTTTTGTACAACCTCTCTCAAATTGTTTTTTTGCAATCACCATCTTCATCCTATTTATCCGTTGTTTACAGTTTTGTCGTCATTTTTACCTAACAACATTTTTTTTATCCCCGTCTTCATCATCGTTTTCATCAACTTGTTATACCGCCAAACTCATAATCTCCAACCACCGTCATTTTCACTGAACCTATCACCTCCATTTGGAGCGTGCACATCTCCCATTCTCTTTAATTGGCAGGTTTCTACAGGTGGAACAGTCACTTGAACCCGCAGAGCTACACGGCGATATCCACATACTCCGGTCAGAAGATCATGTGCTGCCACGAAATAATCTTCATCAACGTTAATTATTTGCCTTAGTATTTCATTCCAATGTGATTTGTCTGTTTTTTTTGCTAATATTTTCTTTCAAATATGTTTTTTTATAACAATAATAATAATGTATACATTGTACAGAATATAGATTTCACTTATATACTTGCTTTATTATTCCGGTTGTAAGAATTTATTTTATTAAATTATTTTAATAAAAATCATAATAGATATATATTTATATATATTATTCATATATTTGTATGATTATGAATTGTATTCATGGTTTTATGTATATGGCTTTTGTGAAATTTTTCGAACACAATGTAATAACCTATATGAATATTAATGTACATAGTATTTAAAGTTAATCAGGATGAGTTTTTCCTAGCATTATGTTTCAAAAATTTTATTAAATTCCTGAGATATGTTACGCTATGTTAATATTTCTTTCATTTCATAACTATAATTCTATGTTAAACTAATAACTTTTCGTTCTCTTCTGTTTTTATGTTAAACAAATATTCTCTGTGTTTTCCGTAATTATGTTGAACTAATATTTTTCTGATTTTCCATAATTATCATTCTATGCTAAACTAATTTTGTTTCTATTTCATAGTTATTGTTCTATGTCAAACTAAAATGACGTCATATTCAATGTCAACTTTCTGCTGTTAACTTAAGCTAGTCTCGGCATCTAAAGTACTGCAACATGAACATTAAACAACCGTAGTGGATTATTAAATAATATTATTGTTGAAACGCTATAAAAATTAGCTTATCTTTTATTATGTCGTAAATAATGTGTTTTTCTAATTTGATGAATACTTCTTCATTTTAATTGAGTAAACTAAAACAATTAAGATAAAATTGTAGATGGAATAATCGAAAAATTGATTTATAATTTTAACAAAGTAAAATTATTTTTTGATATATATATATATATATATATATATATATATATATAGTGTGTGTGTGTATGTTTATGTGTGTGGTGTGTGTGTGTTATTACATTATCACCTAACCAGGTAATCTGTTATACATTACCATGCTTACAAGAACGCTTCAGACTGTTCATCATTGCCCATATCTTTGTGTGTTTGCTTGTGTGTTTGTATTTATGCGTACACACATAAATAAATACACACGTATATATACAAACATATAAAATTATGACAATGTATAAATTTTCACAGATGTCTAAGATGTGTTCGAGTGATATATTGATATATTTTTATTGATTCTATTTTCACGTTTTAATGTTCAACATCGTTGATTTAATATCACCATGATTTTAAAATCAGGTACGTTGTAAACTGTTTTCATTTACCTTCATTTTTTCATAGTTTTTCATCTTGATTTGAAGTGCCATTCCATCCATGTAGCTGTGTGCTCCACTTGACACCATGCCACAAAAATATTTTGTATAACCCAATTGTTTGTACGAAGGTACGTAAGCCATGGGGTGTATATAAACTACATTTTCAATGATTATAAAATAGTGGTTTCGTTGGCATTTTTTAGTCTGGAAGAATATTTTATAAGCAATACGTCACAAAAAAAGAGCAAATACTTATCATCTAAAAAAGTACAAAGTAAGTGTTAAGGTTTCGAAATATTGAATTGACTTTTAAATTCTGACAACCGAACAATAGTCGATTCAAGTGTTCTTCTTGGTGTTCATTTTCAACAATACGAGTATCTTCATTTTTTTTTCACAGAAAATCATCAAGTTTTTGGAATATTGATGTAGTAATGTTGCAAAATTGTAATATAATCCATGTAGCTTTATCTGCCACGAATGAGCAAAATATTTTTTGTAAGCTATTGTCTCTATTTGTCTATAAATTGTAATTTTCAATATTATATGTATGTAACAAAAGCTGGTTGTTTAAGGACTGTTTGATTTATCGAAAGAATATGTTCTATCGGCTCTCTCTTTAAATGGTACTCATATGAAGTGTGTACATCAAGTGATCTCAAAAAGTTTAACTACTTTTAGAATTTTATTGTTGTTATTATGCTAATGTTATTAATAATAATATTATTATTATTGTTTTTTTTTGAAATTTTATAACAGAAACAGCAACAACAACAATAATATGATGATGATGATGATGGTGACAATAATAACAATAATAATATTCATCCCATCAACATCGTCGTCGTCATATCATATCATATTTCATATCATATCATATCATATCATATTTCATATCATATCATATCATATCATATTTCATATCATATCATATCATATCATATTTCATATCATATCATATCATATCATATTTCATATCATATCATATCATATCATATTTCATATCATATCATATCATATCATATTTCATATCATATCATATCATATCATATTTCATATCATATCATATCATATCATATTTCATATCATATCATATCATATCATATTTCATATCATATCATATCATATTTCATATCATATCATATCATATTTCATATCATGCCATATCATATTGTATTGTATCACATCGTATAATATCATCTAGCTAATTATCAATGTTACTATTTTTTATCATGTTAGCTATAGCGCTGCCTTACATTACACGCATAGAATCAATAATTTATGAGTGCATATAATATAATATTTACTAAATAGTAAACGAGATGGTGGAAAGGTATTTTATTCATTTTTTTATCTTAATACTTAAAACAAAATGAACTTTATTTTATTTTGAAAAAGCAGACAGGTAATATCAGTAGAAAGTCGTTGTCGTGTAGTTTTACCCATTGCATTTATTTGATCTCTCTGTCTCCCTGTCTTTCTCTCTCTCTCTCTCTCTCTCTCTCTCTCTCTCTCTCTCTCTCTATCTATTTTTTTCTACATTCTTTCTTATCTGTTCCCTACTGTTCTCAATTTTTTAACATCTTCATATCTTTTCATTCTTTTACATTTATTTAAATTGGATTGTAGTTATGTAGTTATGTACACACGGTACACGCACGGTACACACACACACACACACACACACACACCCTACACACACATACACACACCTACCATACACACATATTCACACTGACACACTTATTCAGACGCACATAAATGAACAAATGTTTAATATATAAATATATGTCTCTCTCTCTCCTTCTCTGTGTGTAGAGCGTGATGATATATATTTAGATAGGATAGCAAGCAAAAGCTCCAACGATTGCATGACGGATTATTTTCCCGGCTCATTTTCCATATTTAATATTTCAAATTTTACTATTTTCAAATTAATTCATCGTTAATGAAATGCCTTAATAATTTCTTCAAAACATCTGTCCATCAATTAATGACTGGCTTTTCTATTATTATTACGTTAACGTACCTATGTACCTACCTGTTTGTTTTTAATTATAACTTTTTTTTCTGTGTCTTATGAGACAATGATGAATGCCACTACTACTGCTACTACTACTACTACTACAACTACTACTACTACTGTTTTATTTGAAAAAATATCATATAATCTGTTTAATAATAAATATTATCATAATTATTATTACTACCAAAAGTCGTACTACTACTACTGCTACTACTAAGTAGTAGTAGCAGTAGTAGTAGTACTAGTAGTAGTAGTAGCAGTAGTAATAGCAGAAGTAATAGTAGTTTGAAATATATATTTTTCATTTTATATGCATCGGGTTTTTTTTGGTGTAGAAATTTGATATGAAGTTAATTTCAGTCATTCCTAATGAACACCGTCCATGTTCGTTAATGATGATAACCTTGCTTCAAGGAGTTTTGAAGTTTTGTTTTAAAGTTTATTAATTTGTTTGTAACTTGCGTCAATTGTGTAATGCGTTGCAGACGAATATTATCTTCTGTTACGATACGTTCTCAAATCATTCCATGTAAACTTGTTATTAAAAAAATAATTTGTTATTTAACATGATAAAATAGACGATAACAAAATTATTTTGAATAAATTTATTCACTACATAATGCTTTGATTTATGGATAAATTAACAATTTTTAAATTTATAGACGTGTTTTTCTGTTCATACCTTCGTATTAACACGTCAAAACGTAGACAATAAAAAACAACAACAAAAGAATTAAAAAATTTGTTGATAACAGTAAGTTTTTTTCTATATGTTTGCTGAGTGCCGGATTTTGGGTGAAGGCAGGCAAGTTTAAGGTCCAGGAGCCTTTGAACGAGAGGGCCTCCCCGAAAAGTATATCTGAACATTATTATATTTATGACAAGTTTTTCAAATTTTAAGCGACGATATTGATAAATATCAAGAGGAAATACTGTAAATAAAAAGCATAACAAAAGAAAGCAAGGAGACCAATTTGATGACTTTTAAAAAACATATAGAAAATAATTAAAACTTTTCATTTATACGTTCAGTGAGGCCTAGGCACCTAAAAAACTGACCCATGTTTATTTCATTTTTTGTTGCTCAGATTCACTAACAACTATGTTACATTGGTTACGCATTGATTGATTATTTAAAGTGTGTAGCTATAATATTTCTAATTTGATGAACTTCTAATGAAAATATCTGTGAGATACAATGAAAAAGATATCCAAAGTGCCAGCAGTCTGATGATCGGACCTGTTTTTTAGCGGGGATACAGCCTAATCTATTTAGATGACATTAAATTGCACAAACAGGTATACCTGGCAGGCAGGTTATCACCCTGGGCATTGTTCAGCTGTGAACGGTCTCTCTCATTTGACTGAAGCACGATAGCTAATAATAAAAATAATAATACAAAGCTGCCTAGTACTTTTTCAATGCTGTTGAAATATTTAATTTCACGTATTTTTTTTATGCTGGTGTCAGGTACTTGTCATTTGCTAATAATTTTTTCTTAAATTTGATATATAAAACTTCTGATAAATTTATATTTTCGAGTTAAAATATTTTTTATCAGAATATTAAAAAAAAGATTTTAGTCAAATTTTGACGAAAGTGGCTGAATAAAACCGAAAGGTAATGTTGTGTTTGTATTCAGTTCAATTTAGGTGCGCATTTATTGAATGAATTTTAATTTAAAGAATCGTAATTATACC